AACAGTTACGTGTGTTGTATATATTACACAGTTACGTGTGTTGTATATATTACAACAGTTACGTGTGTTGTATATATTACGACAGTTACGTGTGTTGTATATATTACGACAGTTACGTGTGTTGTATATATTACAACAGTTACGTGTGTTGTATATATTACAGGTTAAGGAGGGAGACTATATCATCTAGTGTTTTAATAATTCAGCATGTTTGAAAATATTGAGGAGATTACATAAAAACATTAGGTGTAACTATCATATCTACACATTTATCATTTTTTACCTGCCTACCTACTGCAGGTAATTCTTCCTTTGTGTTTCTTTGTTGTTGTTTTCGAACTAAAACTTCAGATATTATAAGTTCTAAACTGAACCCGAAACTAGGTTTTCTTCTACTCTTCAAGAGTTACTAAATCGTTAGGCGACGCGATTCAAGTGGATTCTTTACACGTTATCACGATAACGACCAGAAAAGTAACCAATAAAAATAAACCGACAAAACAGCGGGTAAGTTATGCTCTAATGGAAAGACTCCGTTCTAGAACAGTCTGAGCTCATGGGCGTGATCCTGTAGGATATATATATGTGTGTGTGTGTATGTATGAGTGTGTACACACAAACCTTTAAGTAATAATCTACCTCTCGATCAAACGAGACTGACTCCATAGAAACCTAAGCTGTTACACTATATTGTGGTTTAAGATTCAACTGTCGTTATCTTTACAAGTAAGACAAGCTTGTATCTCATTTCTGGGGTTTTCTAACGCACCCTAACTTCACTTTATTAATAAAAATTCTCATCTACAAATATTGTACACATAAATTATAAATGCTGACAATCACTAACGGATTTAGTGGTGTTTAATAGTAGTTTGTATGATGTCGTCACTTTGGTAAGTTGTCCTTATTTTTTAGTAGTAAATATAAAATTAAAACTTACAATTTCTAAGTTGTTGATGTAAAATCCTAACTAATGAACAAGGAGGAAAGCTCTACTGAATTGAAGAACTTCTGAACAAACTATGGTGTGACTTTTTACAGGTTGTCATTAAATATGTTCCTTACGTCGGTGACAGTAAACGCGCCATGGACGAGTACACGTCAGAGATCATGATGGGAGGTCATAACACTATTGTTGTCCATAACACTTGTGAAGACTCCTTGCTGGCTAGTCCGATTATTCTTGACCTGGTCATTCTGACAGAGCTGTGTCAGAGGATTACCTTCCGTGTAGGTGACTCTCTAAAGTTCCAGTCTTTCAACAGCGTCCTGTCCATTCTAAGTTACCTGTGTAAGGCCCCCTTGGTGCCACGTGACGCCCCCGTGGTGAACTCCCTGTTCAGACAGCGGTCATGTATTGAAAATATCTTACGAGCTTGTTTAGGCTTAGCTCCACAAAATCACATGGGCTTAGAAAACAAACTAAGTAACCCGGTCGATTGGGAAGAACAGCAAGATATAAACGTTACAAAGAAGTCACACGTGAACGGTGTGACCAACATTCGCGAGTTTTATGTTAAAAATATTGTTAACGGATCGTAGCCGTGGAAAAAGTTTTTATCTTAAAGACTAGAAAAAATAATTTAACACTATATTAGTGCATTGTTGTAATTAAGCATTATTAATGTTTGTTCAATATGTGTCAAATATCGTATTGTTATAATTAACTATGATTAGGGGTTCAAAACGTTTCAAATATTTTAAATAGTTAGCCATTATTAAAGTTGTTCAACATGCTTGACAGACTTTATTGTCATAATTAATAATTGTTATGTATTATTGAACACAAGTCACAGATAACTGTTATGCAGTATTAAATTTGTAAATATTTGGCCTGGGTAAAGTCATATTTAATATTTTATTGTGTAAATATTTAGAGTAAGTTGTGGAAAATTCACAAACAAAATGAAATGTATAAAATATTTTAGTTTCTCAATAAAAATATTTTAATGATGTTAATCTGAACTTTTCGTTTTCTCCAGGTATTTTTAAACTTCTGTATTAAAAAACATTTGAAATAAAATTATTTCGTTATACCAGTCAATAAAACAGTCTGAAACGACTATTGTCATTTATATATATATCGTACTACCGTTATCGGTCAACTTAAGGATATCCCTTCTATCAGACAAAATCCAAACATTGATGTTAATCTAATCAGCTGTCATGGAAAAAAAAAAATCATCAATCAAATAAGGGTACTGTCTTTCACTGTTTATAGCCAGTTGTGGGAAGCCAGTTACTATAAGATATTAAATAGAACTAAAGAGAACAATAAAATATTAAATAGAACTATAAAATATTAAATAGAACTATAAGATATTAAACAGAACTAAAGAGAACTATAAAATATTAAATAGAACTATAAAATATTAAATAGAACTATAAGATATTAAACAGAACTAAAGAGAACTATAAAATATTAAATAGAACTATAAGATATTATATAGAACTATATAGAACTATAAAATATTAAATAGAACTATAAGATATTATATAGAACTATATAGAACTATAAGATATTAAATAGAACTATAAGATATCAAATAGAACTATACAGAACTATAAGATATTAAATAGAACTATAAAATATTAAATAGAACTATAAAATATTATATAGAACTATAAGATATTAAATAGAACTATAAAATATTAAATAGAACTATAAAATATTAAATAGAACTATAAGATATTGAATAGAACTATATAGAACTATAAGATATTAAATAGAACTAAAGAGAACTATAAAATATTAAATAGAACTATAAGATATTGAACAGAACTAAAGAGAACTATAAAATATTAAATAGAACTAAAGATAATTATAAAATATTAAATAGAACTAAAGAGAACTATAAAATATTAAATAGAACTAAAGATAATTATAAAATATTAAATAGAACTATAAGATATTGAATAGAACTAAAGAGAACTATAAAATATTAAATAGAACTAAAGAGAACTATAAAATATTAAATAGAACTATAAGATATTGAATAGAACTAAAGAGAACTATAAAATATTAAATAGAACTATAAGATATTGAATAGAACTAAAGAGAACTATAAAATATTAAATAGAACTAAAGAGAATTATAAAATATTAAATAGAACTATAAGATATTGAACAGAACTAAAGAGAACTGTAAAATATTAAATTATATTATTCTAAATATTTAATTTGTTAAATTTCGAGTAAACTTTACGTGAAACACCCTGCAGCTAATACATCAAACTTTACAAGTTGATTCGTATAGGAAGATGACAACTGAAGATCCAGTTTTAAATGGCTGTTGAATTACCAGTTTCCTTCAAGTTGTTAAGCATATTGAAAGTGCTCGTTATATAAAGTTGAAAATTCAAGAAATAACTTTAAGACGCTAAAATGGGGTTCTTTACAAGAATAGAAACGTATAGAGATTCGGTGCAGGGGATGGGGTGAGATATGAAGTTTCACCCAATCATTTTGTCTTAAACACACTTTTCTAAGCTATTTATAGTACTTGTTTGTTCAGACTTTATTGGTTGTTGAATCTCTAACAATATCTGAGTCATATATTTAAAAACTAGCGGAGACCAACAAAACCTTTGCGGTTGTTACGTATTACAATTTCGAATGGTTTGAAACCGAGCTAAATGATAATTTAAATTTAGTAATTAAATAAATGCCGATATATCTCCAATTTATGATATTTGCCAACAAGATTGATACACACAGTTTTATTTTTTAATACAAATATATTTTAATGTACAAACAACAATACAATTTACAATAACAGTTATTACAAACTGATTTATTTACAAAAGTTTTACAAAGTTACAAGCAATATAAAGTATTCTTTCTGGTCTGGAACTTCCTT